AGGAAAGAGAATCACTTAAGCCCAAGAGTTTGAGGTTGCTGTGAGCTGTGACACCACAGCACTCCACTGAGGGCGACATGGTGAGGCTCTGTCTCAAAAAAAAAAAAAATGCTTCCCTGAAACAAATACTGTCCCTTTATTAGGCAACCTGGAGACAATATACCATGGAAAAATGAGTAAGAGGTAAGCATTTCTTCTCATTTCACAAGTGGAAAAAAATTAGTATAAAGGGGATGGGAGTGGGAAAGCAAAATCTGCATGAACACACAAACCAATTTCAAGCAGATCAAACTTTGAAAGTGTGTATATATACAGAAGCTTAGGACCTAGAAATTATTGCTAAGACCTATACCAGGTATACTCCCAGAGCTACCTATACTCCCACTTATTTATTTACTTATTTGATACAGAGACTCACTTTGTCACCCTCAGTAGAGGGCTATGGAGACATAGTTCACAACAACCGCAAACTCTTTTTTTTTTTTTTTTTTGAGACAGAGTCTCACTTTATTACCCTTGGTAGAGTGCTGTGGAGTCTTAGCTCACAGCAACCTCCAATTCCTAAACTCAAGTGATTCTCCTGCCTCAGCCTCCCAAGCAGCTGGGACTACAGGTGTACACCACAATGCCCAGCTATTTTTTGTTGCAGTTTGGCCGAGGCCAGGTTTGAACCTGCCACCCTCAGTATATGGAGCTGGCACCCTACTCACTGAGCCATAGGCGCTGCCCAACAAACTCAAACTCTCGAGCTCAAGTGATTCTCTTCTCTTAGCCTCCCAAGTAGCTTTAACTACAGGTGCCTACCACAACAACCGGCTACTTTTAGAGGCAGGGGTCTCGCTCTTGCTCAGGCTGGTCTCAAACTCATGAACTCAGGCAATCCACTTGCCTCAGCCACCCAGATTGCTAGGATTATAGGCAGTGCCCAGCCCTATACTCCAATTTAAAGATCAATATTCTTGGGATCTTTTCTCCATCTCTATTCCTCTTATGTCTGTCCTCTTATTTTGTATCATAAAACTTGTTAGATAATGGCTCAGCGCCCAAAGCACAGTGGTTATGGTGCCAGCCATCTGCACCAAGGGTGGCAGATTGAAGCCTGGCCCAGGCCAGCTAAGCAACAATGACAACTGTAACAACAACAACAAAAAAAGCCAAGTGTTGTGGTGGGCACCTGTGGTCCTAGCTACTTGAGAGGCTGAGGTAAGAGAAATGCCTGGAGCCAAGAGTTTGAGGTTGCTGTGAACTATGGCACCAGGACACTCTACCAAAGGCAACATTTTGGGGACTCTGTCTCAAAAAAAAAAAAAAAAAAAACCTGGTTAGATTAACCTAAATCTCATCCACTTCCAGTTTTAAACATCTATAACATCTACTTATTAAAACCTTGCCCTGGGTGGCACCTGTGGCTCAAAGGGGTGGGGTGCTGACCCCATATGCCAGTGGTGGTGGGTTCAAACCCAGCCCTGGCCAAAAACTGCAAAAAAAAAAAAAAAAAAAAAAAAAAACCTTGCCCTTAAGATTCATATTTACATAATAAACTACCTGCTTCTGAAACTATTTAGATGCCTCACAGTTATCAAAAATACTTAACACATATTTTGGGGGGGGCAAAATACATTCCTACTCCAGCCTTTCCTATTTCAGTAAATGGCACCACCATCTACCCATTTGCTAGGCCAGAACTTCAGAATTTTTTCAACAGTTTTATTGAGGTATAACTGACATGCAAACACTGAACATGTTTAAACTATACAAATTTGGCCAGGTGTGGTGGCTCACGACGGTAACTTTAGCACTCTGGGAGGCCAGGTAGGTGAACTGCTTGAGCTTAGGAGTTCAAAACAAACCTGAGCAAGAGTGAGACCTCATTTCTGGTAAAAATAGAAAAATCAGCTGGGCATTGTGGTAAGTGCATTTAGTTCCAGCTACTTGGGAGGCTGAAACATGAGGATCATTTAAGCCCAAGAGTTTAAGGTTTCTGTGAGCTATGATGACCCCACAGCACTCAACCCCAGGTGACAAAGTGAGGCTGTCTCAAAAAATAAAATAAAAAATAAACTGTACAAATTTCATAAGTTTTGACATATGTTTGCACATCACCGTAATCAAGATAATGGACATACCCATTATCTTCCATTGTTCCCATTTCTTTTCTTTTCTTTTTTTTTTTTGCAGTTTTTGGCAGGGGCAGGGGCAGAGTTTAAACCCACCACCTCTGGTATATGGGGCCAGCGCCTTACTCCTTTGAGCCACAGGCACCACCCCAATGTTCCCATTTCTAAGCCAAAACACTACAAATCTTTCTTTCATCTTCCAGACCCAGCCCTGGCCAATAACTGCAAAAAAAGAAAAAAAGAAGTACTATATAATATAGTCTATAATTACTCTTTTGTTTTACTTATTGTCTGTATGGCCCTCACAGCAGTAAATACTGTGCAGGAACACATTTACCTTCTTCACTTACACATTATAGAACCCAGTACTTAACAGCTGCCCTATAACTACTTATTAAATGAACATCAAAATATATACAAATGTGATCTCTAAGGAGGAACATACATTTATTTTCCAACACTATTAGGCAAATGCCACACATGAAACTCATTGTTCTCTTGAAAAAGTGATGGCAGCGACGCCTGTGGCTCAGTGAGTAGGGCCCTGGCCCCATATACGGAGGGTGGAAAGTTTCATCCCTGCCCTGGCCAAACTGCAACAAAAAAATAGCAGGGCATTGTTGCAGGTGCCTGTGATCCTAGCTACTTTGGAGGCTGAGGCAAGAAAATTGCCTAAGCCCAAGAGCTGGAGGTTGCTGTAAGCTGTGATGCCACAGCACTCTACCGAGGGCAACAAAATGAGACTGTCTCTAGTGATGGCACATAAGAAACATTCCTATTCTTTTTTTTTTTTTTTTTTTTTT